AAGCGCACTAATTTTACTAAATCAAAATAATTGTGTTGCTTCATGTTCATTTAATTTAAGTCATACATGGTTACCTATGCTAAAATCTGAAGTAGGCCAAAGAAACATACACCCAAATTAAATGTACACCAAAATTATTAATTAACATTACCTTTATTAATTTAAACAATGAGATTAAGTCAAAGTTACATAACTGACAATTTGCACAAACGAATTATCAGAGCAAATTTTGATATATTATATAATCCTACTATTGTTATACAATTTATTAACATACTCTTTTTTAGGTTTATTTAGGTTCTTTTGATAACGATAGCAGAAAATAGCTATCGAAACGTCAAGGTAATTTTTCAAATTAATTTCTCTACTAATTGGAATTTTCTCTTACAGCTTGAGCCTAAGTGTGTCGCAGGATAGCACCCTCTAGGTGATAGTTCTTGATTACTTTTTGATAAATAATTCGTTCTTATTGCGAAATAGGAGCACTATTTATCAATCTGTAATAAAAGACGTGAGGAAATTCTGTCTTTTTTAAAGACAAAAATTTTTGAGGCGAAATACCCAAAAAGAAGTTTGTAAAAAATGAATCCGCCTCAACAATATAGAACTTATCTACCTTTACTTTTGCTTGGTTTGATCGTTACATGCCTGCTTCCAACCATAATTTAACTAATAATGAAGCTTTATTCAACGGCCATTTTTAACAACATTTTCTCAGCGTTAAAAGGAACTTTTCAATATTCGAGATGGCGTCTGTGTTACTTTAAAATTTCGTATGTTCAAAACGTAATACACGCCTGCTTCTAAGTTAATAAAGCTGTTCGGTGTGCTGAGATGAAGTGGGGCAAATGGATTTGGGACATTTACTCTGTAGGGCGCTTTGCAGCAGAAAACCCTGTGAAAGTTCTCCATGAAACCATTAAATTGCGTCTACTCGCGGAAATTTTGGCCATTAAATCATGCACTTGGTATACGTGACATGAGACAATCATTTTTGGCGTTGGCCTACCATATGATATGGATCTAAATTGATATTATGGCTCCTTAAGTGTATTTAACATCAAGCTGTTAACAGGCAAATTGACCGAACAAGTCACAAGTTTGCTCAAATTTGAACTGCTTCTAGTTGGTAATAAGTTGGGTCATCAGTGCGGAATTTTTATGATCGAACAGCATAAAAAATGTTAAATTCTCTTCTAGCTTGGTATTCATAAGGTGCTTCGGCCGCAATAAATCTCTCGAGGCCTTAAATTTCATTCCAACCGTCCGAAACGATGGTTATCAGCTGAAGTGTCACGATTTATAATGCAAAACGCACTTGGCTGCAAAATTGCTTGCGATTGAATAATGTACACGTACAAAACCCAATTTCAGTCGATACAATTAATTTAACTTTATTTGGTCCCTGGCACAAATCTGGTCATGAAACGCAAATTACTCATGACGACTTCCATCAAGAGTAAAATATTACAGATTCTGGAAGACCGTAAAGAGTCTCTCCATTTGGCAATTTCGCCTAAAGACTTTGGCTTCATGTTTTGAATCGTAATTTTTTCATATATGTATGATGTTATTATATTATACTGCGGGTGGCCGTCTTTCCGTCCTCAATCTCCATCGGTCTCTATCTTCATGAGCTAAACCACCGGTTTCCCTTGCTTTTTCATGCCTGCATCTGCTAGCTTCTCTTC